GTGATGATTATGGCACTTAACTGCAGACAATTTCCACTCTGTGACGTATGCAGTTATGAACCCACCGATCCCGGATCAGAAAATCTTTTCCTATTGAAGACTATGAACTGCAGTCAAGAGGGTAGGAATCAAAAACAAAAACAAAAAAAATTTAGTTTAGGCATTTAAAACGTTCTCTTAAGGGGCACCTGGGGTGGCTCAGTTGGTTAAGCATCTGACTTTTGGTTTTGGTTCAGGTCATGATCTCATAGATCATGGGATCAAGCCCCATATCAGGCTCCTCGCTCAGCAGGGAGTCTGCTTGAGGATTCCCTCTCTCCCTCTTCCTCTGCCCCTCCCCCCACTCAGGGGCATGCTCTCTCTCTCTAAAATAAATAAATAAATCTTTAAAACAAATAAAATGTTCTCTTAAGGAGAAATAGAAAATGTTCATCTTATTTGCTTTTAAAATTAAAAACAAAGAACATAAGCCACTTTTATTTTGTTCCATCTTTTTAAAATTTAAATTCAATTAATTAACATACGGCGTATTACTGGCTTCAGAGGCAAATTAAGACACTTTTATTTTTTAAAATGTATTATTTTTGAGCATTTTAATTAATTAATTTGAGAGAGAGAGTGAGAGAGAGAGAGAACAAGCAGGGGGAGCAGGAGAGGGAGGAGCAGGCTTCCCGCTGAGCGAGGAGCCCGACGCGGGGCTCGATCCCAGGACCCTGGGACCATGACCTGAGCTGAAGGCAGATGCTTAACGACTGAGCCACCCAGGTGCCCTAAATCAAGACACTTTTAAACATTAACTTCATATGAATGTTTTGAAGGGCCAGGGGGAAGCAGAGACACAAGGGAGCCAGGGGACAGATAAAATGAAATGAGAGTAAGAGACACACTGAGATGAGAAGGAAGGAGTGGAAAAAGGTGGAGGGTGGCAGGAAGCGGAAAAGGGACAGACAGAGGAGAGGGGTACCGGAAAAATAAAAATAAGCAGCTGAAGGAGACGCAGGACACAAGAGGAAGAGAGAGTCACAGTAGAAGAGACGCTAAAGAAAAAGAGATGACAAGGCAGATGGAGCGTTAGGGAGAGGCCCAGAATGTTCAGTGTGTTAGAGGCCACCCTCAGATGCTGGGGTTAATATAATATTATTAATATAATATTAATTATATTAATATTGACTGCCCTTTGTAAGGAACTTTAGAAGGTCTTGCACTGCTCTACACCTCAAAAGTTCAGGGATTCTGCTCCGAGGATGTGACTAGAGCAACTCTACCGGTGGAACTTCTCTCAGGTTATACTCCTTCGAACACGAGTTAGCGCAGATTTTTACACTTTTAAAAATAAAATTTGAGACATGATAGTTTAATCAAAGTTAAATGGGCTCCCTTGCTGCAAGACTTCTGAGAGCCTTTGATATCAATTTCTAAGAGAGTGGTACATGGAGTATAGGTATACCCAAATTTACCTGGTCACAGAATTCATTTTTAAAAAGAATCACAAGGGATATAACTGTTCTGCAGGACACACTCTGAGAAGCACTGTACCAGGAGGATCCTATACTCTTTATAATCACTTGCTGTAACTCTAACACCCCAAAGATCACACAACCAGAAATAAAAGGCAAAATCTGGTTTGAAGCCTTGAATTTACCTATCCCTACAGCCAACATTGCTATTTCTTTATCTCGTTTTATCTTCATATTGCTTGAAGTGCTTTCTATGGGAAGTTCAAAATTTATATTCCTATATTTGATGCTCTCCATACTTCTAGCAGCTTCTAATATTTATCCTTATTAACGCTGTGCTATACGATATTCTTGCTTCCTTTTCTGCTGAACTTTGTCCACTGTGATGATTGAAATTTGAAAGTCGTGTTTGCTGGTTTCCCTGCAAAGCCCAAAATGCCAGATCCACCTTCCCTTCTTCATGGGCACATGGTAGCCCAGCCTAACTATGGCCTTGTAGCTAATCTCTTCTCAGTGAACTTAGAGCTGAAGTGATCTGTACCACAGTGGTCTCATTTGCTTAAAAGGAACATTGCTGGGACGCCTGGGTGGCTGGCCCAGTCGGTGGAGCATGCAACTCTTGGTCTTGGGGTTGTGAATTCAAGCCCCATATTAGGCATGGAGCCTACTTTAAAAAAAAAAAAAAAGGAACATTGCTTGATTTAGAGCTTTTCTTTTTCCTTCCCCTGTGCAGGAACATGGTGTTCATGAAGATGATGATAATATCTTAGGGTTGGCAGAAAATTAAAAAGGAAGGTACCGAAATGATGGCTCAGAGCCGAGTCCCTCCACCAACACAGACCAATTGAGACTATTACACACGGAGAAATAAATTTTCATCTTTAACAAAGGGACTGTAATTTTGACTCTCTTTAATACAGTAATTTGACATTTATCCTCATTAACACAGTGTTAATAAAAACATTACAATTCATGGTATGCTCACATATACATTATTTTTGTAAGCCTTTTCACTTTGTGTTCCTTCTTACTTTTTGCAAGTAATTATTGTCTTCTAGCATTTGTTAATCTGAACACTGAAAATTAAGGACTTATGTGTCAATTATATCTCAAGCCCTGGGTGGGGGGAGGGGAGAAAACTAAGGCTAAGTATGGTCATAATTATCAGCTCATTATTTTGTTCTGTTTTCTCAATACTTTCAAGCTACACCCTGAGTTATCTAAAGTAGAGTCCTTTTTGCTAATTTATATCCAATCAATAATAAACCTTGAAATATAAAATTTCCCATGAATGCCTAATGATATTATATGGCTGTTCTCTTCATGAACTACAGTACCTTTCTATGAAATAAAATGTGTCAGGATATCTATTACTTAAATTATATCTATTTTCTTAAAGATACAGAATGATTTAACAATGACTGTTTCAAATGCAATTTTATGGTGAAAAATTCTGCTAAACAGAAAAGCAAGTATTTGGAGATAGCTACTGAAATATGTATGTATTTATGAATATATCTTTGGTAAAGAGCCAGACAAAATAAAGCATGACTCATTGTCAGTAAACATTCCCTAAATGTCCTTGTATTATTATGGGAGAGGTACTGTCTGGCTTTAATAATGTATATACAATGAATTAGTATTTACATGAGCTCAAAGGCATTAAAAAACAATGATCTATTTAGCAGAAAGGACTTTAAAATCTAACAAATTAATAGTTATCCTTAACTATCTTGTCAATAAGTTCAGGGGCAACTTTTTGGGAAATAATTAGATACAATAAGATTTTACTACTTATGTTTCTTGTAGTTGCAACTCGCTAGTTTTTAGAAGTTTAAGGCATAAAGAATATGTTTTTATTGTATTCATTTCAGAGGGTAGAGCAAGAGCTACTAGTAAATTTTTTTTTTTTTTGGACCACAAAATACCTAAAGATTCAACTCTGATTGAGATGACAAGGGAAGGAATTTGCAATCAATCTTACAATGGTAAAACTGGAAGGAATCTTAAGAGATCATAATGACCCCATTTTATAGATGAGGAATCAGAAGTTTGAAACCCTATTTTAACTAAAAGAGGCTTCTTGAAAAGGAAAAACAAAATTCTTCATGGAATTCTAGGTCTTGTACAATTCAAAACATTAACAGGAAGCTTTAACATCTCTCTGAGGGGCTGGCCTTATCATCTTTCCACTTCATACATAGTTGAAAACTAAGTTATGAGCAAGCTAAGCAGTTCACTTATCATCTCTCTGAATCCGGGTGTAGCTGGGAATGGAAGCCAAAACTTTAAAAGTTGGAACATCCTCACTCACAGGAGGAGGCTGCTCTCATTGGGAAGGGAAGCTGGCTGGAGCTGGTGAGGGGAAGCCATGTTTGGGAAGTCCCCTTCATGGACTACTGCGTTTCACAAGCAGAGTACTTGCTGAAGATTGCAAAATGCTTGCTTAAGTGAGTTTCAGGTGACAATGCAATCTCAAAAAAAACCCCCCAAAACAAAAACAAAAACCCACAACCCAAAACATTACAGTGTATCAGATTTCCTACCTTCCTCTAAAAAAAAAGGTGTCCTCAAATCCTACAACTTTAAAATATGCTTTATTATGCGGTTCAGTCTTAAACGTCCAGGAAATGCGTACAAATTACATTTAATTTTTATTTGCATAACATGAGCTGTCTTTGCAAAATCCTTCCTGGTCTCAGTGAACATTTAGAATGAGACTCTTCATTTGGATCCCTCCTTCTCTATTCAGAACGCATTTCCTGATGTATTAGCACCCTGGAACGTTAAGCACCCATTATAAATACCATAAAGGAAAAAGTTCGTGACAAAATCTCAGTGTGTCTCTCTCTTCCAAACCACCAATGATGACAAACTTCTAAAGACAACTCAGCCCTTACTAAACAAAACGAGTACACCCGCCCCCCGCCCGCTGTGCCTGTGTTTGTTTGCTACCTAAGACATGTTCCCACGGGTCACAGGGCCCAGCATTTCTGAGGACCACAATCGGTGCTGTGAGGTGTTCCAACCATCACCGCATCCCCCTCCCTCTCTGAACGGTGCCCAATGAGCTCATGCAGCGGGCCGGAGCGGCGCTCGCCGTCAAGCCGGAGGGAACCCCACTTTGCAGTTCTCCCGGGCCGCAAGGAGCGGGGTGCAGAAGGGGAGCTCGTTGGAGCGTGGCCGGGTCAGGGTGTGCGCAGTGAGGGGCGCCGAGTTTGGGGAGCAGGGGGAGGGGTGCCGAAGAGTTGGGGATCCCAACACCCGCAGGGGCAGAGAGCGCGGGGCAAGAGGGGGTCCGCGACTGGGGGGCCCCGGTTCACGTGGGAAAGGAAAGGCGCAGGAAATGGGCGCCAAAGAAGCAAGTGAGAAATTGCGGAGGAGGAAGTCGTCCCTGGAAGAGGAGGGGCGAAGGGAAGCGAGAATGGAGTGTTTGCACTTTCGAGAGGGAAGGGCCGGGAGCCTCCTCGGAGCCGGGCGGGGGCGGCGGACCGCGGGGGAAGGGGCGGTCCCCGGGGTGCCCCGGGGTCCCGGCGGCCCTACCTGAAGCGCTCCTGCCCCGCCGTGTCCCACAGCTGCAGCTTGATCCGCTTGCCCGGCTCGATCTCCAGCAGGCGGGAGAAGAAGTCCACGCCGACCGTGGGGTCGCAGGCGGGGGAGCGCAGCCCGGGGAAGCGGCCCTGGGTGAAGCGGTGCAGGAGGCACGACTTGCCCACCGTGGAGTCCCCGATCACGATGAGGCGGAATTGGTAGATCCAGATGGTCTCCATCGCTCACGTGCCCCCGCTGGCTCGGGGGCCCTCCACCCGCCCTCCCGCCGCGGGGCAAGTTTGGCGGCGGGAACTGTCCCTTCAGCACCGCCTGGGCGTCCGCCCGCCGGCTTCCAGCATATTCCTGCGACTGCGGCCACCGCCTGGTCCCCGCCCTCTCGGGAGGGAGGGGCGGGACCCGTCAGGGCCGGGGGCGGGGCCTCGGGCCGGGGGGCGGGGCGGGGGCCGTGGCGCGGGGTGGGTGGGGAGGGGGGACCGCCCGGGCTGGCTGCGCGCGACTCCCGCCCCCGCCCTCAGTAAATCTCTCCCCCCCAACGCTCACTGGGCGCCGCCGGGTAGGTGGGTGTGGCGAGAGGACGTGACGGCCGCGGCAGCCAATGAAAATGAAGCAAGGGCTCACTCCGCCAGGGTCAGCCAATGAAAAGTGAGAATCGTTTTCTTGCGGGCGTGAGGGTGGGCTTGTCGGAGTCTGGGTGGGACCCTGCAAGTCGGGTCACTGCTGTTGCGTGTTCCTCAGTGGACGGGAGCGGCCTTGGGAGCTCTGCCCCTTCCCGGACTGCTGCAGGTTCCAGCTGACGGCGTCCTGCTGTCTATTCTTGCTCAGCGCCGCCTCCGCGCGCTCAAGGTGAAGGAGCGAAGAAGAGAATCGAAATAAATTTGCAGAGCAAGTTCTGGATGCTTCTAGCAAGCGCTTTGGCCATTGCTCCTGCCGCCACCGGGTATCTTCCTCACTGCTTTCAGTGCCGCAGAAGAGTGAGAAGAATGCCGGGGATTACGCCATCCTTTGGGGGCCTTCCAGCCCGGAGGAGAGGAGGGGGAAAAAGTGAAATGTTGAGATGCTCGCGAAAGCTCCCAGTCTTCTGGGTCTCCGTTCTGCAAATCGGAAAAATCCTAACGGGGTCTCTGTCTCGCCGAGTCAGGTCGGGGAGCCAAATATGAATAAAACACACCTGAATTCTGATGCGATCTTACTGCCCTTTCTTAGAATTGGGCAATAGTGAATTCAAGGTCTGGCTTTTAAAACTTCCAACAGTTTTAAAGTGTATTTTTGCAAAAATAAGAGTAGTCGACAATTCCACTTTGTTCATGCCCACATCCAAACCTGCACTATTGTTATTCATCCTTAACTTCTCTTGTTTTGGAGACAAAGGTATCGCTTTCCATATCGCATTTAATCCCCTGTCAGTCGAAGGATGTGGCACTTTTTTTCCCCAATAGTTGATCTTTTTTGTCATGCTATTTATAGCTCTGATCTCCTTTCCAATTGCTTGGACTCGGCAGCCTATAAACATGCTCAAGTCGTCACAATCCTAAAGCCAGACAAAGCCTCTCTACCTTATGCTTTAGATTTTTGCTCCCTCCATTATTCTCCTTTTCAAACATTAGGAAAGAACCATCTATACTCATTTCCCACCAACCCAGTTAGTCTTCAACAACCTTCTCCATACCTAATGAAATTGCTTTTTTAAAAAAAGATTTTATTTTTAAGTGATCTCTACTTCCAACCCGAGGCTTGAGCTCACAGCCTAGAGATCAAGAGTCCCCCGCTCCACTTACTGAGCCAGCCAGGTTCCCCTCTGAAACTGCTTTTGATACGTTGTCAGGGGCTTTCTATCAAATCCCCGCTTCCCCCAACTATCTTTAGTTGTCATTCTTCTTCACCTCCCTGTAGCTTTTGTTGATTATAATATTTTGTAAAAAGCTGCTTGGGGGGGATTCCTGGGTGGCTCAGTCAGTTAAGTGTCTGCATTTGGCTCAGGTCATGATCCCAGTGTCCTGGGATTGAGTCCCCCCATGGGGCTCCTTGCTCAATGGGGAGCCTGCTTCTCCCTCTGCCTGCCACTCCCCCTGCTTGTGTTCTCTCTTTCTCTGACAAATAAATAAATAAAATCTAAAATTAAAAAAAAAAGCTGATTGGGTGACCCAGCTCCTACCCAGAGTCCTCCTCTAGTCCTCCAGGTAAGGATGGCCAGGTGACAGAGTTCTGACCAATGAGACTTAAGTAGGGCTTTTGGTAAAGCTTTTGCTTTTCTGATAAGGGTCCAGCAGCCATACTCTCTTCTTTCTCTTTTGCTTTTCCTTCCTACCTGGAAGGTTTAACAACCATCTTGTGACCGTCAAGATGAAGGCTAGATGCTAAAGATGGTGGTAGGAGAGAGAGAGAGAGAGCAAGAGCTTGAGTCCTTCATGGAATCATGGATCTGTTGTATGAGCTCTGAACATCTTGTTGTTTAAGACAAATAAGTCAATCCCTGTTAAAGCCCCTGATGGTTGGATTTTCTGTAAGGATAATATGGATACTTTTATTTCTTGGTTTTTACAAAAGCATTCTCTCCTAGTCTCCTGTATTTTTTTTAAAGATTTTATTTACTTATTTGAGAGAGAGAGAGAATGAGAGAGAGCACAAGAGGGAAGAGGGGCAGAGGGAGAAGCAGACCCGCCCACTGAGCAGGGAGCCTGATGTGGGACTCGATCCTGGGACTCCAGGATCATGACCCGAGCCGAAGGCAGGTGCTTAACCAACTGAGCCACCCAGGCGCCCTAGTCGCCTATATTTTTAAACCTTACTTACTCCTCTTTCTGTCATTCGTTTCTTAAATATTAATGTTCTTAAGAGACCCATTTTTCTTCTCTTTACCCTCTCCTCCTTTTTTCCATTACTTTGAGCTGTTTCTGATGACCTCGTGAACTCCAGTGACTTCAGTTACTCCCTTACCCAAACCATGTGTCCTCCCCTCAACCTCTGCTCTGTCTTCCAACAATCTCTCCCCTTAGGTGTTGGATACACATTTCAGACTCAACACATCTGTGTTGGTTAGGAGTCTTTGAAACAAACTCCAGTTTGGGTAATATAAAGAGACAAATGCACTTATCATCAGGATACAGAGGTATTTTTACAGAATCCACAGGCAGGAATGCAGATGGTGTCCTAAAGGGATTGGAACAAGGAAAGGGAAAGCTGTAAGGAACACAGGCAGCGTGGGTCTCTGTCTCTCTCCTGTTCCTTCTAACATCCGCTTACTTCTTACCTCTCGTCAAACCAGCTTTGTCTCCTCCTTCATCCATATGGAAAACTATAATTGCTGCAAGTTCCGTGTTAGATATCTAGACACATACAGAGACTGATTTCCATTTTTTTCCAGAGACAATCTAGTTAGCCCACTTTGGAACAGGTGTTTATACCAAAGATACATGGCCAGGGACACAGGAGCAAGTATCACGCCAATCCCTTTGGATGGGGTATATGGGGTATTATTAGCGGTTCTGGAGAAAGGATTGGTCAGTGGCTTCCTTTTGTGCCAAAAATATATTCCCTGTAATGTCCAAAAGTGAAATCATATTTCTTTTTTTAAAAAATATTTTATTTATTTATTTGACAGAGAGAGAGACAAGCAGGGGGAGCTACAGGCAGAGGGAGAGGGAGAAGCAGGCTCCCCGCGGAGCAGGGAGCCCAATGCAGGCCTTGATCCTAGGACCCTGGGATCATGACTTGAGCCGAAGGCAGACGCTTAGCCAACTGAGCCACTCAGGCGCCCCTGAAATCATATTTCTTGCTATGTTTTCTTTTCCTATACTTTACAGGTGGGTCGATGTCTTTAGTGGCCATTCTAGCTCCCTAGACAAGTGAGAGCGTGTGGTGCTGAATCTAGGGGCCAGGGGTTAGTGCTGTGGATAAGGGAGGGATGGAATTGGTCTAAAGGCAGCAGAATGTAGAGCTAAGGATAATCTAATATGTAGCATCCTGGACAAAACTAAAATGGAAAGGAAAGTAGCAGGTCAAATGAAGCTTTGTTTACAGGGACTAGGTGGATAGAGCAGACCATAGCTACAAGTCAACTGAATGGAAACTGGAGAAACCAGAGTGGGAGGTCATAAGCATAGTTAGACACCATTAGCCAGAGGAAGAGTCAGGGGGCTTTCTGTAAGGTCCCTGGCCTCAGGAGAGCTCTAACAAGGATCTAAGGTCTAAGGTAGTTTAGACACTACGTTCAGTTGATTATGATGGAATAAGAGCTTCATCCATCTCCTCTCTCTCCTTTGGCATATTCAGCCAATCATTAAATCTGAGTACTATTACCTCAGCAATATCTTTCAGATTTAGGACCTTTCCCGAACTTCCCACTGTCATTGTCTTTGTTCAGTCTCTTACCGCTTCAGACCTTACTGCTCAATAACCTTTGTATTAGTTTCCCAGGGTTGTTGTAACAAAGTATCACTAGCGGAATGGCTTAGAGGAACAGAAATGTACTGTCTCAGAGGCTAGAAGTCCAAGGTGTTCCAGACTTGATTCCTTCTTTGCACTGTGAGGGAGAATCTGTTCCCAGCCCTTTCCCAGCTTCTGGTGGCTTCCTGGGCAATCTTTGGCCTTCCTTGGCGTGTAGGTGTACCATTCCAGTCCTCCACTGTGACATGGCATTTTTCCTGTGTCTCTTCACAAAGTCTTCCCTCTGTGCATGTCTGTGTCCAAATTTCCCCCTTTCTATGAGGACACCAGTCATATTGGGTTAGGACCCATCATAATGACCTCATTCTAGCTTGAGCATCTGTGAAGACTGATTCCAAATAAGGCACGTTCTGAAGTTCTAGAGGTTAAAACTTCTTTGTATCTTTTTGGAGGGATATAATTCAATCTGTGACAGCCTCCCATTTAGTTTGACATTGCTTCTAGAATTATGATATTGAGCACCTTTGATGACTCATTCACTCTAGGATAAGGTCTGAATACCTAATCGTGTAATACACATCCAATCCTAATGTGGCCTCTGTGATCTAGTCAGTGACCCCTCTATGCATGCTAGACTTTTTTTCCCCCCATGCTATTGTGTCCTCTCCTTCTGTCATTTTCAACCTTCATCTGGTCAGCAAATTTCTATTCATCTTTCAAGGCCCAGAACAAATATTATCTCCCCTTTGTAATCTTTCTAAACTGCTTATATCCCCAAGGAGAATTGATTGTTCACTCATCTGTGTTCCTACAGCAGTTAAGCAAAGAGTACTCTGTACGTCTATGATATCTCCTATCTTCTACAATATATCTCATATTGAATCATTACTCTTGGTTTGACGGTCTGGCTAGACTGTAAATTCCTTACGGCAATTATTAATTCATTGTTATTTCCCCAGCACACACCATAATAGTGGTGCGCTGTAAATGCTCAC